ACCAAACAACGTATGATAAACGTTTTCTTTACTGCATATGCAGGCGCTTTTACAGCTGCAAAATTTTTTACTAAAAATTATTGAATATAAGCAATCACGGTAATGCATTAAGGTGACCGCCATGAATATATAAATGTATTATTCAACTTTATTTAGTATATTTTAAAACTCAATATAAACTAGCAAAACGAGAAAGAATTTCTAATACATCGATTGAGATGTATAATACATATATGTGATTTAGAACAAAAGCACAAAGAATGTTCTTCGTGTGATTTTTTTCTAATTATAAATATAAAATATGTATAGGGCTGACTAATCAAAATTACAAGCACTCCCATTAAACCATACTCCAAACATCTGTTGAACGTGTCATCAATATTACTTAAAAATACGAATTAATATAGCAAAGAAAACTATCGCTAACTAACAAAAGGCAATTTTCATCATGCAGAATGAAAAACATTTGCAAAATTATTATTTCTTCCCAATTATTTGAACAATTATCTTCCACGCTGTTGTAATTGTAATTTGTTGAACCGGAATTACGATATGAAATTCGATTTAAAATGTCCAAGAAACCCCAGATCTTGCGTCATTCCCACTAAGCGTCCTTCATTATGAACGTCCTTATCTTAACTCTCCATTAGCTGTCAAAGCATCAAAATTTATTTTCTACTTTACGACTTAAACACTTCTTAGACATTTTCTTGAGACCAAACGAAAATATGACAAATATATTCCTAAATATAATATACTAGGATCTAAGTCTCATTTTACAAGAAAAATTGGCAAATTCCGTCCTAAGTTCAAATTATATATAAAATTTATGTATAATACTTGATAAAAAAGCAGAATCACGGCAAATTATGAGTTGAATATTTCATAAAAGAAAGATACATAAGTCGATGGATGACTAAATCAAATTTCACATATTTCACATGTCGATACTACCGTGGGGCTAGGGCCAAATCTACCTTATTATACTCGAGGAATGAGCTAATTTTATGTTATTGTTAATTAACTTGTTTCTCTTCGCTTCGTGTCCGTCTGTCATCAAAAATTCAAACCTTAATTTAGAGCACTTCTGAAGATCCTAGAAACTTGAAATTTGGCATGCATGATTATGCTGCCTAACAATTCAAGATTTGATCATCAGAAGTAATAAGTTTAAAAAAAAAAATTAAAAAAACCCTAAAAATTCACGGTTGAGAATCGAGTTTTTTGTCGAGCATCCAGAGTGTCGAGCAACCATGGAAAATTATTTGAATTGCTAAAATTGCTAAACTAAAAAATAGAAAATAAATAAATATATAAAAAAAACATTTTTAAAAACCTCGTTTTTTCTGGTGGTTACAAAACTAAAAACAATGAAATTAAATAAATAAAAAACTTTTAAAACCACGTTTTCTTAACGGAGAAAAAAGAAAACATTAACTCCTGCATAACATTACATAACATTCTACGTAACTTTAATGTATGTTAGAGTTAATGTTTTTCTTTTTTGTCCGTTAAGAAGACGTGGTTTTTAAAACTTTTTAATTTATTGTATTTATATATGAAAGTAACGTATGGTATATTTAAAAAAAGTCCAGTAAAAATAATATCACTCAGACCAATTAACAATAACAATGACATTGCCATATCAAAAACAATAATATTGCTCAGGAATTGATACTTAGTTTAAATGTTGAAAGTTTTCACGTTTCAAATTTAGAAGTGAATTGTTTTCCAATTCGAGTTTACAAGAAGTTTCACTAATTGACTAAACTTGTTGGAATTTATATGCATTGAATGTTTCTCCATGCAAACTTTAAACGTGCAGACAGTGATTATGTTCAAGATATATATGACGTGCAGCTTAACATTGAGCTAAGAACAGACAATTTTAGTTATTAATGAATGGCAACTCACCGTATAAAGACGTGATGGCTTCTTCTCACTTCACTGTGAAGTATTTTAGCGGAAAAAACTGATGAAAACCCTGAATTAATGAGTAACGGCCAGCAGGTTCAGAGCCATGGCACACAACTCCCTCCCACTTCTCGATGTCCACGCGGACACTGAAGTGCAGTAATTTAGTGACTGCACAGAAAACGTGGCAGTTTTATTTCGTCCGCCCTGGCGAAACTGTACTGTGGAGTATTCTCGTTGAGAAGTTAATAAAAGTCCAGAATTGTTGAGAGACGACCATCCGCTACAAGCCAGAGCGCAATACATTAGTACGCCCTTCGACGTCCCTGTGGACACTGAACAGAAAACGTCGCAGTTTTCTTTCGCCCGCCCTGGCGCCTGAATGGCTGCTCGCTGGCGGTCACCAACAGGGTTAGAATATGGGCCTTTTTATGGCCAAATCTGACTATTTTGGCCTTAAAACAAGTGCTTTGGCCCGTAAATATCTCTTAAGACCTATAACTATTTTTTTTCTTCAATGCAAGAAGTGCCCAAAATAGAATTTTTACATCAGAAATAACAATTTCCCACATAAGTATTTAATTGTGACGGGTTTAGCTTTTTTTGTTCGGAGATTTGGCCGTTTCATGTTGCCAGCATCTGACAACCCTGCTGGTCACGCTGTTTGAACACAAGTGCATGGGTGATAGCGTGGGCTGCTGCGCCACCCCGGCGCAGGTTCTGCATATTTTTTCCCCTCAAAATTAAATTGAGTGCATAGTTTTCAGAGTTCATTGCCGCAATAAGTAATCTTTTTATATCTCATCCTATTTTTAAGCAGGTTTCATTAAGCAGGCTGGGCCATTAATCTCATCCTGGGCAGGGTGGCCCAGTGGTTAAAGTTCAGAGTACCAAGATACCAGTACCAGTACCGCGCCAGAGAGGCGCGGGTTCGGTCCCAGCTCTGTGCGCCAGTTTCTGGTCAGAATCGGCGATGAGACCGGGCGGTTAAGCACAGCAGAATTGTAGCATTGAGTTGTGAGTTCGAGACCGCAAAATGCTGTGAATGTTCTACGATGTTAAGAATCGGCGAAAGGCCTACGGCTTAATAAATGCTGAAACTGCTATTATTACTATTATTATTATTATTCCATTGTGTTCGTGTCATGTCGATTCTAACGGCCATCACCGATGCAGGTGTTAGTCGGTCGGCGTCTTCGTTCTTCAACCTCAATAAACTATCCGAGCTTCAAGTCTTAGTCTTAACTCCAACCCCACAATGCGTGTTCAATTAACTTAATAGGAAGAGGAACGGTTGCTATCACTTCTAAATCTCAATTCACGACGCCTTAAAGCACCTCTCCCTCCAAAGTATAAAAGGTCATGTTAAAACCTGCAATATTCTTAACATTAATTTAGTGTGTTAACCTTGCATACTGAAAATAATATTATATTACTTTGATTTTAATTTCAAGGTCGCTGCTTAGTGCTAAACGCTTATATAAGTGAAAGTGCATGAAAAATCTATTACGTATCTGTAACAGTAATAATGTAATAATTAAATAACATTAATAAGTAATTATTCAGTCGTTAATACATTGTTATTCATTATATTCAGTACGCAGAAAAAGTTTGGATGCATTTTATCCTTTTAATTAACATTCAATTGTACACTCTTATTTGATGAATGCCCGTCACGACTCACGAGTCACGAGTCGTTTTCTAGTTTATTTATATTTTATACGTTAACTTTATTCGAAGTTTAACCTAAACATTTTCTTTCAACAGTTAAGAAAGTTTTTTAGGATATACTAAAATAAATTAGGATCAACTGATAAATTGGTGTTAACTCTCAATTTGCGACTAAATATTTTTCTCCTAATGAGAAATTAGTGTTCAAATATCAGCAATAAATATATTAATTAATATATTCTCGATATTAATTTTTACTGAAGCGATTTCAAGCCAAGTGGCATGTTTTCATCCGCTTATTATACATGATAAATTCTATTCTATGATAATTCTATATAATTAATAATTATTAATTCTATTCTATTCTATGATAAAAACGTCTCTTTCTTCCACCGTCCACCCAACTTCTCACAGAACTTCATTCACTTAAATACGAATGCTTAATAATATACAATTTTTAAATAATTTATGACAATCACTATAAAAAATTAGATAAACTGGACGAATCTAATGTTGCAGCTCATACCATTTCTGATATAATAACAAGATATTTATAGATAAATATTGAATAAAAATGATGAGATATTTAAATAATAAGATATTCTTTGCGGGTCAAAGGTAATAATCAATTTACTAAAATTATTAATGTATCAGAAACGAACTTCCCACAACTAAGGATAATTTAACTTTAACCTTCCCATTGTGTATATATGTATGACGGAGGGCGCATATATGTAATGCACATTAACCCCTGTATAAGGTTACCATAATCTATTAAATTTAAATATATTTTTTTTTCTAAAATGCTTGCTCTAAAAAATGAACTTCCCACAACTAAGGATAAGTTAACTTTAACCTCCCCTTTGTGTATATATGTATGGCAGAGGGCGTATATATGTAATGCACATTAACCCCTTGACATTATATTAAACTCGTACGATAACATTATTCAAACTGAAAACATTATGCTAGCCGTAAAATAGCTTTAGTAAAGTTCATGCATAGATATATTATGAACTGTAATGATTATAATTCTTCTGTACTCTCTCCATTAAATGGTGATGACCATCAAGACTCTGTCTAGCCTCTCTGTCTCGTGATCTCCTATGTAGTTACTCTCCGTTTATTTGTGCGGACCAGGCTGGTTCGTGATCACCAACCGCGCGTTGTGACTCTTGTTCACCATCACTTCGTTCAGATTCTCTGTTGTGTGCGTGTGACGTGCGTGTGTTTCATCCCTGCACGTCACGAGGACACGTTACTGACGAGGGTGGAGGCTGTCGTACGTCTGGCAGCGGTGATGAAGGTGGGGGTTGTCGTACATCTGCCAGCGGTGAGGAAGGAGGGGTTGTCGTACGTCTGGCAGAGTTTAAGGAGGCAGAAGTTGTCATATGTTCGGCAATGGTGATCCAGACCCATGAACGACATGGTCCTGAGAAGTGGACATATTAAGTTAGATGCTTGCACACTAAGAGAAAAGCATGGGTTTTATTGTACAAATATTGACACGCTTTCTCACCCCCAGCACGAGCAGTGAGAGCGGCCGTAGCACTGATACGTCCTTTTGCCGTGCCAAACTGGGTCAGGATGACCCACACGAGAGCAAAAAACTGCATCGCTATTTCGACAAAGTCTCACTCATTTCTCTAGGTGTGAGGCCACCGCAGACTCTTAAGAGTCTCCCAGGTTATATATAATAATCGAGGTTCGTTTTGGCACCGCCCACGGCCACGCTGATGCACCACCCTCGACGCCTCCCATGCGCCGCCCACCAGCAACAACCGAGAAATGAGACACTGTAACTGCTACCATTGTGCTACATACCACAGGAGGAGCTTTCAGCGGGGGTAACACGGGGAGTCCTACTTACCAGTGGTGGTGCTTGCAGCGGGGGTAACTAGGGGAGTCCTACGTACCAGTGGTGGTACTTGCAGCGGGGGTAACACGGGGAGTCCTACGTACCAGTGGTGGTACTTGCAGCGGGGGTAACACGTACCAGTGGTGGTGCTTGCAGCGGGGGTAACACGGGGAGTCCTACTTACCAGTGGTGGTGCTTGCAGCGGGGGTAACTAGGGGAGTCCTACGTACCAGTGGTGGTACTTGCAGCGGGGGTAACACGGGGAGTCCTACGTACCAGTGGTGGTACTTGCAGCGGGGGTAACTAGGGGAGTCCTACGTACCAGTGGTGGTACTTGCAGCGGTAGGTCTTGCGGTAGGACTGGCTGAGGCTCGCGAGATTGACGGCGCCGTAGGATACGAGGAAACATGTGCTCACGATGATCCACAGGGATGATGTGCTCAGGTTGATCCCCATGCGGATCCCTATGATCCCCATCCTATTTTCCACCATCAGGATCATGACCAGGCATATAACTGCAACAATAATTTTATGTGTGTTCTCAGAAACACGAGTAAAACTTTGGCCAATTAGCGACGCATCTTTAGCTTGAGTGTGTCATCTTGACCCATTTGTGCCCGGCAAAAAGGCGTATCGCTGCTGCGTGCAAACAGCTTTTCATTATTTTTACAATGACTTATTTATTTTTCTGAGTGTGGCAGCACGACAATCATGTTGATTATGATGGTTAAACATGTTAAAGTTCACTATGGTCGGAGGATCTCCGAAAATATGATTATAAATTCGAATGGCAAAAAGCGTCACTGGAAGTGAAGGTATGTTGGTGAATTAAATTCTAGAAGTGATTTTACAATCAAACTTTTTCTCAAGGAATCGTATTGTATAAGAATGGGAGTATGTGCCAACTATAACAAGAGAGTTGCCAGTTGGTAAATAAGGTGGGTAATACGTACCACTTTACTCAACATATCGGCAGCAACTCTGATAAGAGAGTTGCCAGCTAGTAAATAAGGTTGGTAATATATACGACTTTATCTAACGTATCGAATTGTATAAGAATAGGAGAATGATACAACCTTGCCGAAGGAGTGTCCAACTAGTAAATAAAGCGGGTAATTTATAAGAGGCCCAAGGACATTAATAAGGCCTCACCAGCACCCACCTGCCGTCAACATAAGGGCCCTCAAGGGCCCCCCACGGGCACTGGTCCTTGCAAAGGGCGCCAAGCCAGTAATGCCGGCGCCCTGGGCGACCGCCTGCAGGATTCGCGGCGCCCCCACCAGCGCCTGCGTCGCCGCCCCCACGGCGGCCAAGACCGCCCCGATGAAGAAGACGTTCATATGAGGCCACGCGATGGTCGTGATGGCCACGTGGCGTCTAAACACGCTGTCACCCCACCTGGAGGACACGTGGAGGGGGGAGGTTTAGTGAGCCCCATACCTGAGGGAGAAAAAGGAGGCAGACGTTATTGAACCTCAGCTGAATCTGAACCTAATTACTACCCCCTCTTCCCAGGGGTGGGGTTCACCCACCCTTAGGTTCACCCTCCTGCCTCTGGGGTTCACTCTACTGCCCCCGGGGTTCATTCTCCTGCCCCCGGGGTTCATGTCCCTCACGCCCCGGGGGTTCACCCTCCCGCCCCTAGGGTTCACCCTCCCGCCCCTGGGGTCACCCACCGGTCCCTGGCGAAGAGGTTGTCGAAGGTGGCCCCAAAGAGGACCAGGCAGGTGAGGTACACCAGGGAGGTGGCCCCAATGGCCGATAAGGTCCCTAAGGGGAGACTTTTCTGGGGGTTGGCCAAGTCCCCCGATCTGTTAATCCCCGCCATGATACCTGCAAGGGGTTGGGGATTGGTTTAGAGGTGGTGTTGGGGTTGGGGGAACGGGAGGGCTGAGGGGAGATGGTAGGGGGAATTATGGTAGGGGGAAGTGTGTAAGAAAAAATAAATGAAACGAAACGAATGACCTTATGACCTTATGATGAGTTTGGGACTTCCTAGTCCCCGGTCACGCTGATGCGCCGTCTTCATCGTCCTCTGTTTCCGAGTCGTCGCTAGGCAGAGGTCCCGGATGTAACGTTGGAAGGGCGAGACGTCGCCCTCGGATCCCGGATGTAACGTTGGACGTATTCCTTCTATTTTCACTTTTTTGCGCCAGCTGATGCAAGATGCTGTTGCTTGTCACTTGCCGAGGGTATAGTTTCACATTACTGGACAATCCAGGATCTTTCTTAACCAATAATTGTCCAGTCGTCTCTTGAAAGTCGCAAGGGTGTGCTCCCCTCCTCTCAGCACTTTTGGCAAGGCATTAAAGAGCCTCGGTCCTGTCACGGACAGCTAGTGATCCCTCACGAAGAGTCTGTACTCTGGCCGCGGCTCGGTTGTTAGATTAGGGAATCCTGCACAGTCACCCTCTTCTTTCGTTGTAATATGTCACTATTCTGGAGGTCACACTCTCAAGGTTGGGAGCCAGTCCGTTTATCATCTTCCAAGTGTACAGTATGATATCCCTCTCTCTTCTCCTCTCCAGTGAGTACAGTCCCAGGTGTTTCAGCCTTTACCAGTAGTTCGGGATCAGATCCCTCATGACGCTGATCCTCTACGTGAGGGACCGCTGCACTGCCCCTAGTTTCCGTACCGCATCCGCCTTGAGTGGCGACCAAAGTTGGCAGCAATACTCTAGATTGGGGTGCACGAGGGCTCTGAGGAGTGTAATCATTGGTGCTGCTTCTCTCGTTCGTAATGTCCGCCATATCCACCCCATTCGTTGTCGGCTGCGCGCGACTATTTCCTCGATGTGGGTATCGAACGTGGTTTCGGTACTCATTAACACTACGAGATCTCGAACTAGTTGCTTCTCCTCAATTTCTGTGCCATCTGATGCCAAAAAGCGAAGCGGCATCCCGATTTCTGTGCGGACTCTGTATCTCATTACTTCGAACTTGGTGCCGTTGAACTGCATATTGTTCACTAGGGCCCAATCGTAGATTGTTGACAAGTCGTCCTGCAACCTCTCGCAGTCTAGCTCACCTGCGATTTTCATCAGCACTCTTTTATCGTCTGCATATGACGATGTAGATGCGTGGGTAAGTTCCGAGTCGATACCAGCAATGTGGATGAGGATGAGGATCGGTCCAAGCACTGAGCCCTTTGGAACTCCGCTTTCCACCTTCACTTCTCTTGATTTCGAGTTTCCAACTGCGACAGCTTGTACTCTATCTATAAGGAAGTTGTGGATCCCCCCTAACAGGCCTCCTCCTACCCCCAACAGCCTCAGCTTTCTAAAGTGCACCTCATGGTCAACTTTGTCAAAAGCTTTACCAAAATCTAGGTATACTACGTCCACGCCAGCTCCCTCTTCCAGCTGGACCACACGACGGTGATAATGCTCCAGTAACTGTGACAAACAGGAACGACGGTAACCACGTTGTCAATTATTATACAGGTCAGCCTCTTCCATATACTGGACAAGCCTCCTGGCCACTACCTTCTCAAAAACCTTGATCACATGTGAGGTCAAGGTTACCGGTTTGTAATTTTGGGGTCTGTCTCTCGGACCTCCTCTGTGGATTGGCGTTATCAGTCCCACTTTCAGGCCCTCAGGGATAATTCCCTCCGTCATCGAGGCTTTCCAGAGCATTGTGAGCGGAGCCTTCAGTGCTCCAACACGCTTCTTCAACAGCACTGCCGGAAGTAGTGCTGTTGCAATACACTAGCAGCAATACCGGAAGTGACGGCATTACCTACCAATAACAGACGGGAAGTGACGGCACTACCTACCAATGACCGACGGGAAGTGACGGTACCACCTACCAATAACAGACGGGAAGTGACTGTACCACCTACCAATAACAGACGGGAAGTGACGGTACCACCTACCAATAACAGACGGGAAGTGACGGTTAATATTAAATGAATGTTCAATGTTAACATTAAATGAATCTTGAATGATAATATTAAATGAATGTTGAATGTTAACATTAAATGAATGTTGAATGTTAATATTAAGTGAATATTGAATGTTAACATTAAATAAATGTTGAATGTTGATAATAAAATAATGTTCAATGTTAATATTAAATGAACGTTGAATGGTAATATTAAATGCACGATGAATGTGCAATAAATCAAGGTTAGAAAAGTCGAAATGTTAGCAATGAATGTGCATCACTCAGAGGAACGGATGACCCTCCGTCCGAACACCGCTCCACTTGTTGCTGTGGCGCGCGTCGTTAAGAGGCAAATGAAGGCGTATCAGTGATACGTACAGAGAGTGTGCCATTATATGGACAATATTGCCATTTAATTTTAACTGTGGGTTCCGTCCCTCGCCACAAGTCCCAGTCCCTCTCACGGGCCACGTCCTCCACTCAGGGGCCACGTCCCGCGCCACAAGTCCCAGTCCCACTCACGGCCCAGTCTTCCACTCAGTAGCCACGTCTTCCTTCACAAGTCCCGGACCCTCTTACGGGCTACAAACGCCACTCAGGGGCCACATCCCAGTCTCCCACTCACGGGTAACGTCCCAGTCTCCCACTCACGGGCCACATCCCAGTCTCCCACTCACGGGTCACATCCCAGTCTCCCACTCACGGGCCACATCCCAGCCCCCACTCACGGGCCACATCCCAGTCCCCCCACTAAGGGCCACATCCCAGTCTCTCACTAGCGGGCCACATCCCAGTCTCCCACTCACGGGCCACATCCCAGTTCCCCACTAAGGGCCACGTCCCAGTCTCCCACTCACGGGCCAGGACCCCCGACGCAAGTCCCGGGACGCCGCGACGCAGGTGCAGGTCGTGTCCCATGTCGTAATACAGCACATTGTGAATTATGCTGCAGTTAGTCGTGTCCCTCAGTTGCCAATCGGTACAGTACGTCCCCCACAGTAAACCAAAGCCTTCGTGGGGACTGTGGGGGCAGTAGCGGTATTCTAGCTTCAACAGGCAGGGACCAAACGTGCACAGCCTGGCAAACGATTGCATGTTTATTCCAATGAACTTCGTACTGTTGTAAATTAAGATAGTTTCTCACTAGATACTGTAATATATAAAAATGATATATTACATCTCAATATAATATATCGCTACTCTAGATAATGCATCATTATAGACAACATATCTCTGTTTAAGACATTAATATAATAAGATAATAAAATTAATAACATAGGATAATTATCTTAAGAAAAGATAATCTCTCACATGGCCTCGTCGGAGCCGTTGACGTGCACGAAGACGCCGACGATGATGAAAAAGATGCTGCAGACGACGTAAGCCAGGACGATGGAGGCCACCACACTGACGAAGGTGATGCCTCTGCTGACGAGGATGATAAGGAGGACCAGCAGCACCGAACCATACACTTGCCCTTCGCGCTCGCCGTTTGGATCGAATGCTAATAGGGCATCGATGAGGCCTGAGTAGCAGCACCACTGCCGGGGGGATAACTTTTTTTCTATGTGGGTCAGGATGACTCATCCAAAGGCAAAATGAGCATCGCTATTTAGACAAAGTTTCCCTCATTTTTATGAGTGAGGAGGAAAGGAGGCAAACTACAGTTTCACCTTACCAATTGTTCACAGGAGCAATAATGAATTAGCGGATAGCGGGATCGAACCTCAGCTACCTGTGATATTTTTTTGCGATGTCAAGAATCGTGGACAGGCTAACATGGCCTGATCTTCTTGCTGATTACATACATTATAAGAACATATTATTGTTATTGCTATCCTTGTTACTCTTCTTGTTATATTTATTATAGTTAATCTTGTTATTATTGTTGTTATCATCGTCATTATTGCATAATTTATTGTTGTTGTTGTTATTGTTATTATTTTTATTGCTATTATTATTATTATTATTCTCATTGGAATATGTCATTATTATATGACCCCAAAACTGTTTATACTTATTTCCTTTATTTAATTCTTATGTTAGGTTAGTGAGCCGAGGCGAGAATGGTGCACATGGCGACAATGGTGCACATGGCGACAATGGTGCACATGGCGACAATGGTGCACATGGCGACTCACTCTCAGTATTGTGATGGCCCATCTAATGTACATGGCAGCGGCGGCGGTGGTCGCGGTGTACAGCAAGAGGCCCACAGCGCCCCCGAACTCGGGGCCCAGGGCCCGGGACACTAGGACGTACAGGCCCCCCACGCGGACCGGCCCGTTGGTGACCATGGCAGACATCGACAAACCCGTCATCAACGTCTGTGGGGGATGGAACGTCTGTAGGGAGGGGACATCTGCGGGTGAGGGGACGTCTGCGGGCACAACAGCACAACAGGATCGAAGGTCATCAGGAGGGCCCGGGACTCACGGTACAGCAGCACAAAGCCATCAGGAGCGCCCGGGACTCACGGTACAGCAGCACAAGAAGGCCATCAGGAGGCCCGGGACTCACGGAACAGCAGCATAAGAAGGCCATCAGGAGGGCCCGGGACTCACGGTACAGCAGCACAAGAAGGCCATCAGGAGGGCCCGGGACTCAAGGAACAGCAGCACAAGGCCATCAGGAGGGCCCGGGACTCACGGTACAGCAGCACAAGAAGGCCATCAGGAGGGCCCGGGACTCACGGTACAGCAGCACAAGAAGGCCATCAGGAGGGCCCGGGACTCACGGTGCAGCAGCACAAGAAGGCCATCAGGAGGGCCCGGGACTCACGGTGCAGCAGCACAAGAAGGCCAT